AGGAACAATTGGGTTCCTTAGGATGCTAAAGTTTCAAATGGATTCTTCCCTTCATGTCTATTTTAGTTAGGGTTTCTATTGCTGTGAGGAGACACCGTGACCATGGCAACTCTTACAAAGGAAACATTTAGTTAGGACTGGCTTACAATGTCAGAGATCTAATCCATTATCATCATGGCGGGAAGCATGGTGGTGTGCAGGCAACATGGTGCTGGACAAGGAGTTGAGAGTTCTACATCTTGATCCTCAGGCAGCAGGAGACTCTGTGTTACACTGGGTGTAGCTTGAGCATATATGAGACCTCAAAGCCCACTCCCACAGTGACACAGTTCCTCCAACAAGGCCACATCTCCTAATAGTACAACTTCTTATGGGGTCAAGCATTCAAGCACATGAGCCTATGGGGGCCAATCCTATTCAAATCACCACAAAGTCTGAATCCCATTGCTGCAGTGAATGTTTGAGATCACAAGGAGACTTGGAGAGAAAGAGATGAACTTGCTGTACTGAGAAAAGGTACCAAGCCACATGGCAGAGCATAGACAAGAAATATGGGTTAACTTAAAACGTAAGAGTTAGTTACAAGCCTGAGCTATTGCCCAAGCATTTATAATTAATAATAAGTCTCAGTGTGGTTATTTGAAAACAGTTTCTCTGGACACAGAGAAACTCCACCTACAGGAAGGCATCTGTGAACCAAGGAGGCAGCAACACCGCTTAGGCAGTCTCTGGCAGTCACGCCATAGACATAGCCATATTACTACCAGCTGATGCCCACTAGGGACATATTCTAGTTAAATAAAATTATTTCAGTGTTAATTCAGAATCACGAAGAGTCTTTAAGAAGTCTGTATTTGGGGCTGGAGGGATGGCTTATCAGTCAAGAGCACTGGCTGTCCTTTCCGGGGACTCCTTCATTCTCCAGGACCCACGGAGCAGCTCATAATTTCTCCCTCTGCGGCCACACATGTGTGGTACACAGACATGCATACACCCATACACAAAAGATAAAACAACAATATATATTTTTTAAAGTTTGTACCATTTGTCTGCAGTATAGATAGGGCCCAGTAATTATTTGGCGGTTGGATAAGTGAATTATTTTTATTTCTATTTAAATTTTGATCTTTTGAGACAGAACACTGTAGTCAGAAGTTACCCAGAGCCTTACTATGTCAGGCTGGTCTCCAGTCTTGTCCTGCTCTGGTTGCAGCCGTCCTGGTTCATCCTCGAGCTTTCTCCTATTGGACTCCCCAGCACTGCGCCAAGTACAGGACAAAGCCAGGCACATGGTGACGTTACAGGACCCCACAGAGGTTTGAAAGTGGCCTTATTTTTATATGGGTCGCTGTGCTTTTCATTTTACTTCATACATTCAAAACATAATAGGTTTAAAATCTGAAGAGTATTTTTTAAATGAAAAACCTTATAGCAATGACAATTTAATATTTAATAATGAGAGAAGAATACTTATTTTTTAACTTTAGAAGTTGGATTAGATGACCCCTCTCCCAATTCGGTGATCAGTAGTCCTGACCCACAGTTTGATTCTTTTTTATTCTCTTCACTGGAATCAAGGGGGGCGGAATTCCCCTAAAATCACAGGGCTCCCATTTCACTACTAATATCCAGCTCCTGGAAAATACATGTTACTGATCAGTACCCTCATACTCCAAGTATAAGAATGGAAAACACTTGCAAAAAGATAGACTTTCAAATCAGAATGACTTGTTTCCATTATTCAGATGACAAACAGGAATACACAGGAAGTTGGTGGAAACTTGGAACACCAGTGATAAAGAGAATTTGTGATGCTCCAGCTGCTCTTTAAATATAGGCAACCAGGAAAAAAACCTCTCCTATGGGTTGGGTTTGGATGTGACCTCCCCATACATACATACATACATGACCGGAAATTCATCAGCTTTTATTATTTCTCATCAAAATGAATTCCTTCAGATTTGTAATGATATTGTCTAATAAAACCCAAACAGTCAGTCAATTTGCATATTATATGAAGGAGTGTCAAACAGCAAACTCATAGTAGTCAATTAACATAAAAGCTAATTTATAAATGTCTCATCAGCCTACAAGAGTTTCTGAATCCAAGCCTAAGGTGAGGAGTTATAACGTTTTGCATCTAAAATTGACTTTTAGCTAATATCAGGAGTAATTCCATTCTCTTACGGATGGAGCATTAGCAGTGAAACTGAATGCAATGTTTGCTATAAAGCACTTACAATTGCTACATTAACCAGCCTTCAAGAAGGGAAAATCTTTGCAACAATAAGAAATTATCAGCCGCTAAGCAGGTTAAGTGCCGCCTTCACGTCTGAAGGGAGACCACAGAGCAGCCATGAGGGTGAATGAAGTTTACGGGGACTGTCAGGCTGTGATGGCAGAGAGGGTTGCATCACAACTAGCGTCTCCACACCCATTGTGCTGTGACATAATTGTATTCCTGCCTGCTTGTGATAGCTATCAAGCAAGAAATTTGCTACAAGATTAACAGAGACACAGTAATGAAAAAACATGAAGCATGCTGTAATTGGCTGTTATTAAAGTGTAGTCATAGTAGTCTGTAACGAACTCCCTCGATGTTGACTCTTGGAGGAACCCACGCCAGAACTTTTCTTCCGTTTCAAAGTTGTGGTCTGGTGTCTCCCACTCCCTTCCCCCTGCTCACTTCACAAGCCAGTGGTTAGGAGAAGCCTAAGGTGGGGGGGGGGGCCTGGACATTGCATACGCCACATGTGATTTAGAGGTGAAGGAGGGCTTTAAAACCGGGAGATGTCAGGTTAACTTTGATTGAGGTTCCCGGGGTTAGTGAGGAAAAGATAGACAGTGGATCACTTTTACATTTCTAAAATGCTATAGAAGTCCCCATGAAACAGCAAGAAAACTGTTCGAGAAGCCTGAACGGGCTCTCTGACACAGCGGTGGCGACAACGGCCCTTTCCATTCATATTTTAATGAGGCCAGTATCTCTGAGACAGTCCTTGCAAGGCCGAGGCGAGGTTCCTGGAAGATCACAAAGGGAGTCGCTTTATTGACAAGTTCCATTCAAAACCTTCACTGTGTACAAAGAAAGACTTGGTTCTTATTCCACTTGTCTCAGTACTAATGCATTCTTAGAATCGGAACAATTTGGGGGGGTCAATTATTCTATGAACAGTCTTTAAATTTACTAAAGGTGGTTCAGCTGAGTGGAATCATATTAATGTAGATTTTAAATACATGTATAAAGAGCTGTGATGAAAATATCTTTTAAAAATATTTTTCCAATATCTGGAACTCGGGGATTTTAAGATCAAAATTTGAAGACTCTTCCGTAAAATGACCTCAGCACCCTCGTGTTGGGAGGGCTCCCTTCCCTTTTCCAAAGAAGCTTATAGTATCTGGTAAGCCTTCAGCCAGCAACTGCGCCTGGTTTTAAAGACTCCTGCAAAGGGCTAGCTAGCTAACGTCATTGAAAAGCTGTCAATCTTCAGAATGTAAAAGAAAAAAAAAATGTAGAACACACACACATACACACACCAATCTGTGTTAAGTAGGGCATTCTGCTTCCATATCCAAAGGTGTAAGGTTATACTTTTAAAAAAACAGCTCACTGTTAAGCCCACTGATGTTTTTAAAGTGGAGGACTGTTTTCAAAAAGTACAATCCTGGAAACATTTGTAAAAGTAAAAACTCTCAAAAGTAACGAGTAAAAGGCTTTCATGATTTTGCCCCAGACTTAAAAGGCTCATCAATCTACGGCACACAGCTCAGAGTATTAGGTCAATTTAAAAGGGAAGAAAAACAGAACAGTTTCTAGGGAAGCGAGTAGAAACGCTTAGTGTGTGGACAGTCTTGGCTTGGTAACGGGATTGCGTTTCCCAGGGTCCTCTTCCCCACCCTGGGCCCTCCTACCCAAGACCCTTCCTGCCCCACCCCCACGCATGTAGTCTGTTTGCTTTTCTGATGGGGGAGGGAAAGAGGGAGTGAATTTCCTGGTTGCTATTAGTTTTTTGTTTTTGTTTTTAATAGACGATCCCACCCTCGCTGTTACTTAAAATCCTTCTTTGTGAACAACTAGAAACTGCCATTTATATGTATCAGTTAAGGAAGGCACACTGGCACCCCTGAAAACGCCGACCATCGTTGTCTTAAAGGCCGCCTTTGAGTCCTTAATGTGAGAATTCGCCATTACGAACGCTGGCCTTTCACAGTGTCCCCCACCCCCACCCCACCCCAGGCCAAGTTTACTGAAGTGTCTGTCCATCAGCTACTCTATTTTCAGTTGATTCGGTAAACCTGTGAATTTCTTTTTTTGTTACTTACAAAGTTTGGAAGGCTTAAATAAAATGCCAGTCGTGCCCTTGAAGAATTTTCGTTTTATATACAGACATACATATTTGGTGAATTTGGAGACAAGAACTTGATACCTGCTGCGGAGTGTTTTCATTTTAGTTCGCAGATGCATTTAATTAAATGCTCTTGCGAAATCAGGGCCTTGAGAGTTCCTGATGGCCTGAGGTTCACCTGGGCCGCAGCAGGTGCTGGGCGGTGACCGGGCGCAGTCCTAGCGCGCCGTTCTTGCGCTCTGCGTAAAGCGTACTCCCAGGGTCGGTTCCTGGTGGACGCTGGGGGCAACGGCGACCTGGGGGGTGTTCCTCGCGGGCCACGCCGCCCGCGCTTTCATGTTAATTGCGGATCGGCTTTGCGGCCAGATGGCGGGGAAGCGCCGGGACCCTTTGTGCGCCCCGAGCGCGCCTGTGAATGTCGCGCAGTCGTTGGCACCGGAAGGGTTCACACTGCGTGTGAAAGGGGACAAAGGGGGCTGGATATATCAACACTGCAGAAACCGAGTTCATTTGTCATTCAGCCCCTTTCAGCGCGGTTGTCATGCAAACTTCCTTCTTTGATCAGCAGAGGGTGGAGAGCGAGAAAGCGCGCAAAGCCGCGGGCCCGGCCGGGCGCCCTTGGCGGCTCCACGCCCCTTCCGGAAGAAGCCGCGGGACCAGGCCTCCTGCACCTTGACCCGTCTAGACGCCGCACGAGGTTTTGTCTCGGTTTCCAAGGGCGCGAGGTGCTCTTTGACCCGCGCCCGGGGCGTAGGTGGTGGCACAGAGCCCGGCGCGCCCCGGCAGGTCCCGGAGGGAGAGGGGGTGCCCGGAACGCGCGCCAGCTGTTCCCGGAGCAAGCCCGGGCCTGTGGGCGCCCCGGGTCCCACTCCCAACGACCACCTCAGCGTAGACCCGGCACAGCCGCCGCGAGATGCCCGGAAGGCGAGGCGAGCGGAACGACGTGGGATGGGCAGAAGCGTGACTTCCCCACAGAACTGTTGCGTTCACGACGCCCCGTCTCCTCCCATTTTCTGTGCTTCAGCCTCTACTCAACAACTTTTTAATATGACCTCTATAAGTACAGTTTCTATATTGTTCAGTTTCTTACTGCCCGCTGTCAAGCATGTTATTTTCTTGCTAGAATTTAAGCTAGCTTTAAGGTACATAAAGAACGGTGCAGACGCTTCCATTGGGAAGCCATCCTCCCACGCATTCAATGGACTCGCGTGTGAGTGGGCAAGTGTCCTGGCTGGTTCTGTTCTTCTTGTAGGTTCCCCTGGCCCAGTCTGAGGCGTTCCTCGTGGACCTTTTGGATAAAGTGTGTATGCGAATGAACGATTACCAGCTGGAGGATGATCCAGTGACCAAACAGAAGTATTTCAGGAGATACGCTCCGAGAAAGGGAGACAAAATATACAAAGAATACAAAAAGTTCTTCTTTTATTCTGATGCCTTCAAACCTTTGAAATTCGCGGTAAGCCTCCTTCCAAGAGCCTGTTGGGGTCTCCTTTTGCTGCCTGTGGCTACTCTTGATGTGCAGCGGGCAGCCAGGCCCATTCACATGCCCTAGTGTCCCGTGCTGCCCCACTACCTAAGTCTTCACGCTTAGTCATCTGAGGATCCTGGCATCCTTCAGTCATCAGTGGGGAATCTGAAGGGAGTTTTATGAAAGGTGCCCTGTGTGCCCTGTCCTGGTGTCATGAACACTATTTGCCCATTGTTTATTGGGACTTTCTGCTGGTGTGGGGTGACCTCAGCCTGTCTTGTTTCGAAGGAACTGGGTCTGGGTTTTCACCTAAGGAGTGCAGGGGTTGTGGTTTCTAGGCTGAAATCCCAATGGAGGCCAAGAGTCCGTTTTCAAATAGTTATAGCTAAATGTTGGAGTGGTAGCCCCAAGATGCTCTACCCCCATCCCCCACAGGCTTCTCGAGGAGAGTGTTTTCCTCCAGTTAATTCAAGTTTTGTAGCTGGGGCTAGGCTACACCAAGGCTTGGGGCCAAGAGCTCAATCCCACAATTCTTTCAGTATAAAGTTGGTTTTATAAAAAAATTGGCCTCTGGCTTTCTAGGGTGTGCCTGGCAAAATACATTGCAATGTATTTCCCCTTACTTAATGCTGTTGAATCACAGTGATGGCAGGATTGTTTTAAAAATGCATTAAGTTCACACAGTGGCCAAAATGGCAGGCGTGCTGCAGCCCCAACATGAGGCTGTAGCTGACATTTGGAGATTTCATTTTAATTAAAAAGTGCGGGCAATAATTCAGGGCTAAAAGCCCCGTGGAACCTGGATGGTGATGTGAGTGTATTTGCCTTCCACAGGTTTTAAATAAACACATTATAGTGGAATTTAAATATTTTTAAATGCCATCTAAAATTCTTAGAGTCTTGCTTAATGAACTCAGAGATGGTTTACAAGTCTCCAGTGGATGGCCCTCAGCAACCCACAGTTCCAAAAACAGGCCGCCTGGTAGTTCTTGATGGGAGAGAATTGAACACTTTCAGATCTCATGGCAAATTTGCACTTCCTCCTGCCTGAAGTGTCAGCTTGTTCTATTTTTATTTTTTTTATTTGCTTTGGAAAGCAATCTCAGGATTTGAGCCTAAAGGATCTACAAAGAAACTTCCCAAGTGATTTCAGTGCTCTGCAGCTAACCTAGCAGGTGCAATTGTTATGATAGCTAAAGAGCCTCAATTGTTTGCAATTTTCAAATTACAAAGTGAATTTTTCTGTTAAATTGTAAGGAAACTGGTTTAACCATTTCCAGGAGATATAGTCTTTATAATGTTGAAGGAAATGGGAAAGCTTTCGGTTCCTTCTTGTCTATTGAACTCCAGACTTTAGGAATAGAAACAAACATAGCCAGCCATTTTCCTTCCTTCTTCCTTCTTCTCCTCCTCCTCCTCTTCTGAGGTCTTCCAACAAGTTACGTCTCAGGAAAATGATACAATTAGAATTCCTGGAGCAGGGTTACTCTTGTGCAATGATGTATCAAACCAAAGGGGCTAAGGAAAATGGCCTTGCTTGGCTACATGCTTTCCTGTGTTCCACTGCTAAAATGTCGCTAAGCCTCTGCTAATAAGGGGTCCTGCCCATGCGCCTCTGCTCACACGTGTTGCTATTGTGTTTCTACAGTGCGAAGCCATCATTGAAAAGTATGAGGATGAGATATTTGCACTTATCGCCCAGGAGGCACACCATCTAGCTGACATGCTGTGTAGCGAAAAATCAGGTACTGTGTCTGATGTAACACGTGCTCCCAACATCGCTCACCCGCTCTCACTCCGCCTTGCACAACACAGCTAGCTCATCTGCAGCCTACCCAGACTGCCTCCCTGCCAGCCGGGCTCAGCTCCGGCACAGGCTTCTGGGGATAAGACCCCAGTGCCAGAAAGCAGAGCGACAGAAACCCAGGCAGGAGCCTCCCCTGCTGACTTCCCATCTCTGCTTTTTCCAAGAGAGTGAGCAGAAATCCAGTGCTTCTCAGAGTTGGGTAACCCCAAAGCCATTGACGTTAATTTAAAGTCCTAGATGTTAGATTTTTCTATCCTGGCCCAGGAAGGGATGCACTTTTTAGTAGCTTGAGTGTTCTAACAATGGAAGGTGGGATTTTTATTTTGAAAGAAAAAACATGAGAAGTTTTTGCTTTTTTTGGGTTGGGAGTTATGTTGAATTTTTTTACTTCTTCTGAGTATCTGCGTCTAAAAGTTTAATTTTTTCTGTCTTAACATGTTTAAATAATACTTCATATTTTAATCACAAGTGTGTCCACTAGGAAAAAAATGAGCAGAATATTATCTACTATATGCCACAGTGAACTCTGTGATGGCCCGCCCCCCCCCCCAGTCTGCTTGAGCATCCCGTGGCCTCATTTTGACACACGTTTATGCAGAAAGAAGAAAAGAGTGAGTCCGTTGAGTAGGGCTTCTCGGATGTCCTTAGGAAGAAAATGAATGAGTTTATGTGATGACAATGGCTTAACCCAGTATAGTGTTCTAACCATGCCAAAGCTTGATGTCCAATTCAGCAAGTATTTATAGAGAGTACATACATGCCACCAATATATCTAATGTGGTGTCCAAGCCTTTAAAGGAACATTACTGTGTGATTGTAGCTATATGTTGATACCATTAGAAGTTTCTAGATAAGAGGAGCACATACCCACTAACAAGATAGCTTAAGTTTTCTCACTCTGAGCAGACAATAAGGTTGTTTTCTATTTAAAATTTCATTCCAGTGGGAGCTTGCAGAAAAATGGAGTAAAATGATATACAGAGGATTGTTTGCTAGCCTGAGATGTTTTATATTGTTGTATAATTGCAAAATTGTGACATTCATGTAAGTTCATAGCCATACTTCCCAAAGAAAGACTTTCTGGGGTTTTTCAATCAGTTCAGTTGTGTTAGGTGTACATTAGATATTAGTACACATATTGTGAGCAGGGTTTGAAATTCTGTCTGCTAGTTCTCCTTGTAAACAACTGAACCAGCCATGGTCATCTATGATGGACACCAGAAATGACTACATGAACACCCAGGCATTTCAGAAAGACCCGAGGGAATAACAGCCACTGTCTCTGGCAGTCATTGCCTCTGAATTGAGATTCTGAGGGGAAGACTGCTCCCAGGATCAGCAATCTGGCTCAATGTCAGTAATGTTAGCACCCCTCTTCATTTTCTATATATGTATAATTGGAAATAAAAATGAAAATGTGAGTGTGGAGATTAAACCTAAGAGACCTGTAGGAATGCTGGTGTAAAAGAGACCACCAGACGACTGCATTTGATGACTTTTCAACTCTTTCTGGCTGGCAGCTGGGCTGTGCACAGTTGAATGCGGCTGCTCTGCTTGGGCAGCATGGTAGTAGAGCTCTTCTGGGCTTTGCTTCTTCACGAAGCTTGTGCTGAATGCAATAGCTTATACCTAAGGCAAAAGCTGGGGGCAACTGTGTTTAACAGAGACTGGGCTCCCTTGACCTTGCAACTGAAGCAGGCTAACACTGTGAGAGCAAGGTATACTGCTTTTTCAGACTGACATAAATTATTGCCAAAAAAAGTTAAAACAACACCCAATGATACAAATGCCAAGCTACCAGCCAAATCTCTAGTTCTAGAAGTACCTGTTCTCTAAATAATTATTCGTCTCCCTAAAAGCAATAGTGTTTCCCCGATTCTCAAGATAGCATCTTGTATGTAATGTATACTCATGGAGTAGTTATTGGTTAATGTACACTTGCCTGACCTCCAGCATACACCCAGGAAGTGTGTCACGCACACACACACACACACCCCACACCACAAAGCTAACCTAGGCTACATGGGAGTGTCTCAAGAAAACCAAATTAGAAAATAAATTTTAGTGAATGCACAGGTAACAGAGGAGTACTGTGATTTAACGCATGGGATGGCTTCAAATTCCCACAACACAAAAGATGACCCGTGGTGCCTTAAAGTGTCGTCTACAGCACAGTGCAGTGGCCTTTCTATCAGAGCGGGTGCCAGCTATATTTCAGAGATGCAGTGTGTCTTGTGTTAGACAACAGCCTTGCCGTGGCCTTGTGTCAGCCATGTAAAGCATGTCTCAGGGCCACGTCCTGTATATGGACCCAGTATGTATGTGGGGGTGGGGACTACACCACATATAAGATGCCGTCCTGAGAACTGGAAACACCCACCTATTGCTCTTAGGGAAATAAGTAATTATTTAGAAAATAGATGTTTCTAGAGATTTGCTGGACACGTTCTTTCCACATCTAACATACATGCTGCTTATGTAGGTCTTGCTCCTTCCTGTTTTGCCTAGATTGCCTCTTTCTCTGACTCTCCAGTATGTGAAGGGTTAGTCATTCACCCTCATGCACAGACATAAACGGGGAGTGATGGAGAAGACATGTCTATGTCACGGGGTGGCCATGTTTGAATTATGAAGTGCCACAGCAGCGAGAGCCTCATAAACACTGATGTCACCTAATGGGTGGGGAGGATCTCAGTGAGGGAGAGCGCTGCCCGGATCTGTGGGTGCCACTGAGTCGTCGTGCTCTGGGTAGAAGGAAGGTCTCTGAGCACACTCTACCCATTGTGCATGGCAGAGGAACAAACTTATTCTCCACATTTCCTTTTTCATAAATAAAAGAAAAAAAGTAACCACTAGGTTTTCCAAATAGTATCTTCTGTAGCCTGCATCTCTAGAGGGTCACTTTGATATCTTGAAATCAAAATGACTAAAGACAGGATATGATACAGAATGTGACTCAAAATCCAACCGTGTCCATACAAGGTAAAGGACATGGGGTGTCCTGGAGATGTAAGGGTCTAAGTGGAAACGCAAATGTATTCTATATTAATACAATGACAACACTTAGAAACATCTTAATAGAACTCATGGTGTAAGATAGCAAATATCTAGAAATGACCAACCGACCATTTAAGTGTATCTTCAATTTTATCTAACTTCTCAACCCAAGAGGGGAAACTTAGATTCTAATCCATGAAAAATCATTACTCTCAAAGGCTAGCATATTTCAAATAAAATGTAAATCAAAATAGCTAGTGCCTCTCAAGTTCCTTGCCCATTCTCACTGTGAAACACCCCGCTTATATCTCCCTTAAATGCTCCTGCATCTGTGGAGGACCTTGAGAAATGCTTGGTCCAAAAAGACTGGAAGATGATATGAGAACATTTGGGTTGGCCTGTGAATCGTTCTGGAAGCTGGGCTCAGGATACAGGGCGGTGTTGGATATGTGTTCCTTTCTGCTTTTCCATGTACATACATTTTTTTTTCATAAGCTTTAAAATATGCTGCCACCAGTGTGGGCCTTCTGTGGAGGGAAAACCGACCCACTGGCCTGGGATTTACTCATTAGTGACTCTTTTACTCTTTTCCCAGATCTATGTGGCACTCCAGTCAATCATCCTGAGCCCTAAGAGTGAGGAGTGGAGCCATAGCCCTAAAGGTCACTGTGTGTCTCGTGTCGTGTGACTGCCATGATAAGAAATTCCATCTCATGTCTGCTGGACTCGTCTCATGCCTGATATTGGTTTGAAAATCTCTGGCTTGGCATCATGACAAACCCCAAGTCTTCTCTTAGGTGAAAAGAAGTTTATAAAACTGAACACCCCTTTGCATATTTGCATGGAAGCTGGGCTGGCAATAGAGCATTAAATTTTGCTGAGGGAGAAAACGGCAAAGCCATTTCTTGAATTCAGTAGGGATTTAAGAGTGGGTACGAGTGTCTCGTAGCAAATGTGCCTGACACTTCCGTATACAGTTTGCTATTTGGAAGGAACTTGGTTTGATTTCTCAAATAGTTGATTGACCACAAATTCAGTGCCTTCAGTTGCAAGTAATATCGTGGCTTGGCTATTCTGGGAGGTTCTGTATGGTACTTGTAAAGCCACTCTTCTCAATCAGGAATGGGGCTACAGATCTGGAGACTCTTAAATTTTAGGACTTTATCCTTAAGATTCAGTAGAATAAGCTGGGTAGTGGTGGTGCACGCCTTTAAATCCCAGCACTCGGGAGGCAGAGGCTGGTGGATCTCTGTGAATTTGAGGCCAGCCTGATGTACAGAGCAAGTTCCAGGACAGCCAGGGCTACACAGAGACCCTGTCTCGATTCCTTCCCTTCCGCAAAATTCAGTAGACTAGCTAAAAGAGAGTGAGTAGCTAGTGCCACCGTGAATGGCCATCATGTCATCTTTCCTAATTACGCTGTGAGTTCAGATGATTGCAAAGGTTACCTCGTAGTGGGTTTCAAAAGCTACAGTGCTGAATGTTTTTGTCTTGCTTGAATCTCTCTTGGTTTGTTTTCTCTCACTAATCATAGTGTGTAGATTTTCCTACAGGCTGATTTCTCACTCTTCTATGGGACTTTTATTTATGTATTTATTTTTGGATGTGGAAGGAAATTCATCTCTACTACACTTACTGTAACGAAATATAGTACTCCTGCATGTTCTCATTGCCTCTGCTAAATTTGCATTCAGTAGAATTGAACTTTAATTATTCAGTGTATGAGGGTACAGGTTATACCTGTTTAATTAATAAAATTTTCATCACTTGCTTGGGTAACAGGCAAATTTTGTACTGGAAGAGCTAAAATGGTTGTTTATAAAACCATCCAGAAAATGCACTATTGAGGTCATTTACTTAGGCTCTTTGGCCAGAATAATCCTTACATTTGCAAAAATTTACCAGAATGAAGGGAAGAGATTTCTATTTTCCCTCCCCCCTAGTCTTAAGCCTTAACGTGACTGGGAATCTGGGTAAGTGTGCTTTTGCAGTGTGTCTGTGACTGCCGGTGTTATAAACCCTCTGTAACCCTGTGATTCTGTGCTCAGACTGTAACCCTGAAAATGTAATTTAAAGCCTAGCCTGAGCTATAGTGGGAGATGTCACAAAGTGGGGGAGGGGTCGTCCTTGTCCCTGTATCTTATTTCTGTAGCCTGTAAGATTAGCCTGGCCTTTGAGATAGGAAGTCTTTTTTTCTTACTTGAACTTTCTTGGTAAGTGCACACTAGGACACTGTTTCCTAAAATTCACCTTCATGGGCACAGGCTGAGAAGGCGACTCTAAAGAGGCTTCCCATTTTCAGGCTCGTGTTCACCTGCGGGGGTCTTCATGCAGATGTATGGCCAGACTCTTCCTTCCCAGTTTTTCTTGGATTTCTCACCAAACAGGATCTTGGATCTTACAATGGTTTTGGTATCTCATGGCCATTTTTTTTCATAATTCTTTTTCATATCAAGCTTGTTGAGCTCACGTAAATGCATGTAGCTTACTGAGTTGCTGATTAAACCTCAGTTCAGCGGAGAGTTACCCAGAGCCCTGGGTCTCCCTGCTTGCTTCCTCTGAGGAGCCTGCTTTGCCAGGGAATAGTAGTAGGACAGAGAAGCTGTGTTAGTTGGCCACTCTCCTGCCTTTAAAATGACACCAGAATAAGATGAAGGACCGGGGAGAGCCACTACCACCACTAAAAACAACAACAAACACCCATGCTGCACAACGAAGTTTCTTAGAGTTGACAAAAATCAAGCTATATGGAGGTCAAAAAATAAATAATAAAAATATTAAATTCATAGGAAGGGAGGATCAATAATAAAAGGCAGGAAGAGGAGACATGTTAGGGCCTCCTTGGAAGCATCACTTGAGCCTGGATCCTCAAAACCCGCAAACCCAATCGACCAAGACAAGATTCTTATCTTTGTTCTGCAGGTCGCTATTTGCTAAGAACAAGCCAAGACTGCTGAACCTGTTTCACTAGAGAATACAGAGTAGAACTGAACCAAAGTCCCAACAGGAAACATCAACACTTAGACAAAGTCCTAGGACATATTCAAAGCACGAGCTCAGACTTACGTTTCTCAGCTTGTATTATGTTTATTCTTACTGGTATAGTTCGATGTAACAAGAGAAGTTTAAACTGTTTTATCAGTTGTGAAAGAGATTTTGGTGGGATATTGGGGGAAAGTCAATCTTTTATGCCTGTGTGGTCTTCTTTTGAGCTTGATACAAACTTGTGAGCCAATTGTGAAGAGATGGCTCAGTGGTTAAGGGCACTGGCTGCTCTCCCAGAGGTCCTGAGTTCAATTCCCAGCAACTACATGGTGACTCCCAACCATCTGTAATGGGATCTTGGTGTGCGTGCATAAAGACGCATCACTCATGTACATAAATAAATACTTAAGACAGAAATGTTAAAGGTCAATCAGCATGTAGCACCATTTGGTTCCTAGACACAGTGAAGAAGTACAGTAAATTATTGCAATAAAAATATACTTGTGAGAGAGCAGTGTTTTCATTATGACTTTCTGGCTGCAGTATGGTTATAAGTTTGTTTGCCTTTAGAGCAAGAAAAGGGGTAAATAGAAAAGATCAAATACAATAAACAGAACTGGAATATGCCAGAGAGTTACCTAGGAAAAGATGCTAGGAATGGCATTGTCCCATGGATTGATTGCTGCCTTGTCCTGGACATGTGTGGAACAGGGGCTATGGCCAGGCTTTGTCATTATCTGCCCTATAGGAAAGATGATGGTGATGGTGTTTGTGTAATGATGGTTGATCTACTTCCTGTTGTTTCTTCATCACCAGCAGGAGGTTTGCTTCAGAAGGGAAGTGTGTGGAAACGGAGTTGGAAATGTCAGACAGACTCAACTCCCCTCCTGATTCTCTGAGAAAGTCCAGAAGTGAGTAGAAGGATGGGTGATGGGTACATACTGGATGGATGGATGGATGGATGGATGGATGGATGGATGGATGGATGGATTGGTGAGTAGGTAGGTGGATGAATGGACCAATGGGTGGGTAGGTGAATGGATGGGTCAGTGAGTGGATGGATGGATGGATAGATGGGTCAGTGAGTGGATGGATGGATGGATGGATGGGTTGGTGAGTAGGTAGGTGGATAGGATCATGGGTTGGTGGGTTGATGGGCAGATAAATACATAAGTAGAAAAAACTAGATACAAAACACAGGAAGGTAAATAAAATTTGAACATGAGAAGTACAGTTGGAGATTTTTTTCCTAGAAATTTCTTTAACCCCTTACAGAAAACACAGCATTCCTATGCTTTATGTCTTAAAGAATTACCTTTAAAATCATTTCTGAAAGAGAAAAATAGTTGAAATTACAGTAGAAATGATCCCATCTCACAACAGTAAGATAATTTTCAAATACTAACTTGCTGAAAAACAAAAGTTCTGTGGAAAGTAGAGTCTTGTAATATGCCAGGACCACAGAACACAGATCTGAAACATTCTGTCAGGTCTGTTGTGTTCTCCAAAGGCAGCACAGAGCAAAGCCTGACCAGCAGCAGTAGTGACTGGATAGTCTTGCTCCCTCCCATAACAGAATGGGAAAGAGCCAGAGCCCCTGTGGTACACACTCCTCCTGAAGAGCTGCTGAGGGACCTGACACATCCTCTAGGGATTGCCCATCTCCCCATGTCTGAGGAATGAATGCTCCACACATGGGCCCTAGAAGCCCAATGTCAGCCAATTGAGCATGGCTGGGCCTCAGATCCTCTAAGGTAAAAGTTAAAATGTTGATGCTAACTTTAAACTTCATGACAGCAAGGCTGGCACCTCAGGCAGTCGAACATCCTCCTGATCTTTTCTGTGAAGCGTTTTCCTCACAGTAGCTTTCAGAATGAGTGGGAATTTCTCCACAGCACATTGAAGTCAGCTGAGAAAGGGAGTCTGTGATCCCAAAGTGACCCTATGGTTACAGATTTCAATTACCAATCTGGGGGAGTCATCTTTCTGGCTTTGTTGTTTTTTACCAGAAGATACTGGTGAAGCATTTCCCTACTCCTGGGTTATAGAAGAAAGCACAACACTAGGAGATGGACCACCTGGTCCTATTTAACAGACGGTCTATTAAGATAGGATATCAGATAATTAGAATAAAAAACAGACACTTCAACTACCTTGAATGTAATCAAAACCCGATTAACTATGAATGTCCGAAGATGAAGGGGTCCAGTGTATATGTGTGCTTTTTAAAGTGATGCTCCTTAATGGTGGGCAAAGAAGATGGCCAGTTAGCACCATCATTCCCCTGGTGGGTGATGGAGTCGGGGGCCTGGGAAGCCAGACCTGGCCTGGACAAGGGCTGAAGCCGTGTCTGATCATAGGCCAGCGGCGCTTCTCTCTCAGCCGACCAGGAGGCTCGGGCTTCTGGGATGGAAGATGAACAGCACCGGACTGGAAGGAAGGAAGGAGTGTCTGGGTGCGGATGCCCACACTCTCAAGCAGAGATGCGGCAGGGAGGAGTGAGAGCCAGCGGGGGAGCATGGGACTAAAAGGCAGAACGTGGGTTCACGTGGTTTCTTCGTCTTGCCCCCTTCCCCACCCCATGAGTGGGTCTCACATCAGGCAAATTTCCACTCCCATTCTTTCCTCATCGCTCCCGATGGTTGACTCCCACACAAGGACATTTCCTCCTGTGGTGAACAGCGCTAGTCCACTGTCAGGGCAGAAAGTCAGGGTACCCAGAGATCTGTCACAGCTCTGCCCACAGCACAGTAGAGCCAAGACCAGTGACAGGCAGAGCTGGGGGCAGTCGACAGGGAGTGAGGTCAGCCCCTTTGCTGTTTGGCCCATCTGGATTCCTTCACCATCCCTCGGCCCCCTTCGAGCAGCCTGTGCCCTTGAGCAGGGCCTATCCTGGACAGTCAATAAGGATCCCATGGGAACAGTGCGGCTCACACAAAGCCTTATCTGAGTAATGAGTGATGAGCTGGGGGCTGGGTCCCTTCCCATTACTTTCTCATTGATTTACACCTCGGAATGCCCAGCACCGCGCTGGCGCCTCTCATTGACTGAACTGTAAATGCAAGCTTCACTAGGCCACATCTAGAGAAAGGGCTTCTCCTGAAAATTGTGGGTGTAACCCACCCTGCAGAAGCCAGAGATGAAGGGGCTCAGCATCTCAAGGTGGTAGAAAGCTCACCGTGGGACCTAGCTAGTCGTGATGGGTGGCGGTTGATTGATTCAGAATAGCTGCCTCTCCCCTCACCATCCAACCCCCCCCCCACAACACTTCAGCTGTCTACCATCCAAAATATAAAATGGACCCTTTGTTCCAACAGCTCCTTGATCACAAAGACAACCAGGCCCAGGCCAGGTCCAGGATGAGAAAAGATCTCCTGGTTGACCCAAGCATGCCAGCCTTGCTGTGGCAGGTGATGGTGGGCAGGGGCAGAGTCATGGGGAGCGACCCGGCAATGGTGGAACTCCTCTGAGTTGGTTTTGATCCAGATCCATGGTCGATGTGGCAGACAGAAGAGGAAGGCAGAGGCCAGCTTGTAGCAAAGAGGAAGGTCAGCCGGAATGCCATGAGGAGTCTCCAGAGGAAACCCTGGTCCCTGCCAGGGGCAAGCAGCAGGGACGAGGGAAGAACACGGACTGAGCACCCCAGTACAGGAGATGATGAACCCTTGGCATCATCTGATAAGGAGCAGGGATGCAATGGAAGAGAGGCCCCCCGACCTCTTCTTTTACCCTGAATGCCTTGTCCAGGCCTTGTCTTTGACGTGCTTCATACTGGCTGAGGGGCCAAGGTGCATGCATGTCTCGGTGCTGTGACAGGCTTCTCCAACCCCAGGTCGGTTTGAGTTGCAGGAAGATGAGGAGTGTTGCATCCCAGGCCTCTCCAGGGAATCACAGCGAGCACCCACAGGGCTGACTGTCCCATAGGCAGTACCTCTGGTGGTCCCTAAGCACAGAGTGGGCACTGCTTGAATTCCAAACTGAGCACGGGCTCTGCGGGAGGATGAATCCCTTCCTGCCAGTTGTGATGTAGACTTAAGACTCTCGTGGCCTGGTTGGGGGGCGGACACGAGGAGATGGGGCCCCTTGACGAGCTTGTCTGCTCTCCATGTCTGTGTCATCTCAGGACCTGTAGCCAGTTGCCCTCTGGTCATTTTGTCCTTCTTGAGGCTTTGCACGAGGGTGCCCGCTGTGGTGAGCGCGTTCACAGGACCTGAGCTCGGTTCCCAGAACCTACACGGTGGCTTGTAGCCATACGAAACTCCAGTTACACAGTGCACATACACACTTGCATTCATACACATAAAATTAAATAAATTGGAATTTAAAAAGCGATAATAAAATCCTAAACAATCACAAGGAAACTTAACGCTAAGCACCAGGCATGACAATACATACTTGTAATCTCAGCACTCAGGAAGCTGAGGCAGGAACATTTCTGAGAGATAATACTGAAACCCTATCTCAAAATAAAAATATGAGTAGAACCAGGCCAAGCAAGTTGAAAAATGTAAAAGCAGACACCTGCTTTTGTTAGAAGTGATACGTGTATTTAGAAAATGCAGATTTTGAACGGAAGGAAACATTGGTGCTAAATCCCACAGCCCAGAAGACTGTCCCATCACGTTTTTGTGGATGGATGCACACGTGTGTGCTCCTGTGAATTAGACTCGCCTTTCCTGCCGATTCTTTGGGGCGTGTAAACTAATTCTCAGTGCCATCAACAACACAAACACCGATGACTCCAGCATGTTTACTTCCTTCACTTTGGCCGCTTTCAATGTTTTTTTCTTATGAACAATGAAGGGATTAATGTTTTGTTCCCAGATTCTCAGCAAGTTCCCCTCAGATGGCATTGCAAAGGAGGGGACACACTGCCTGGAAGTATGTGGCGGGTGAGGTCCTGCAGTCCTGTTTGGGGTCCTCACTGTTCTAAAAAGCTCCCAGGAGACCCAGCCTGAGGTCAAACCATGATGTCATTCTAGTCCCCCAAGTGTACCCGGTACCCCTGTAAGTGTGGGGCACCCCTATAAGAGGACAGCGGACAGCTAGACAAATCCTCTCTTGTTTGGGAGATCTTCTGTCCTCAACCCAAGGACAAGGTACCCCGGCTCTACCACAGGGTCCTGAGCCCCCATCAGGTGGGTCTCAGCACCCACAGGTACTTAGGCTCCCAATGTTGCAGTGAAGGCTGTGAACATTCAGATTCCTCCATGGCACTATCCCAGCTTATCCGCGTGACAACACTGTGTAGAAAATCATCTCATGGACAGAGTCCAGGGTCTGGAGCAAGCTAAGCAGGCACAGTCAAAGCTCTTTCTCAGAAAGAGACTCCAGACTTGGAGTCCCACACCCCTCACCTCTAGGACCCCAGCCCTGTAAGTGCAGTGGCCCTCTGGTGTCCCTGGGGCTTGTGGATATCAGGATACCCACACTGAGACATCAGGAGTTATCATGTTGGCTCTGTGGTTTTCCTTGAGAACACAAGGATGTCTGCAGTGCAGCTAATA